TTTTAAACTTTTGCCAATCTTAAAAGTGTTATCTACTTTTAAACGTTTTCCAATTATGTTTGACAAATATTATCCTTCTAATATGTGTTTCTGAATTGGTATTACTGTTTCCTATCATTCCTTATCTTGAATCTCATTTATTTTTCCAAATGGACTGGCTGTTAGAATTTTTTATTCTATAATTTGCTCATGCATATTCTCATCCATTTTTCTCTTGAATTCTTTTCTTGTTGATTTGTGGAATTTGTTTATTAGGGATATTAACCTACTATATATAGTAAGTAAATAGTTACTCATTTAATTTTCTGTCATATAGAAATGTCCAGTGTTTTTATAATAAATGTCAGACTTTATCTTCATGGCATTTATGATTTTTGTCATGCTTATGAAGGTTTTCCCATTCCAGGATTTTGAGGATATTCTTTTGTATTTTATTCAAGTACTTTTTATTGTCTTATTTTTGACATTTAGATCTTGTCATAATCTGACTGGATTTTTCTACATGTGTGTGTAGTGTGAACTGAGAAACTATTTTTATTTCTGAAAGGAGAGCTAACTTTTTAACCTCATTTGCCTCATTCATCCTTCTCTCCCTAATTTTATATGCCAGCTTTATAATAAACAAAAACTTGCGTTTGCACAATGGGTCTAGTTTTGAACTTTCTTCTCTGTTCAGTCAGTCTTTTGATCTATTTCTGAAACAATACTACATTATAAATCACCATGGCATATTCTTTGTAGAATAGGGCAGGTCCTCCTCATCGTGTTTGTTTAGTTTTCCCCGAAGACCTTGCAAATCAGCTAGTCAGGTTTCACTAAAAGTATTGTTAAGATTTTGATTAGGATTATGATGCTAAATTTAGAGATTAGTTTGAAGAGAGTGGACTTTAATGTTATTTAAATTTTCAAAATAAGTCTACAGATAAGTTGATCCATACTAACACGTATAGCTCTTCTTTCCCCCTCAAAAACTTTCATATGCTTTCTTCCATGAATTAATAGTATTTTAAGGCCAGTAAAGTACTCAGTATTTTGATAGGGTTTTTTTGTTGTTAAGGAAGCATCCTTTTCCCTTAGTTTACTGAGAGTTTTCTTTTTATGTGGAAACATTATTGAATTTTATTAAATGCTTTTTTATGTATCTGGTTTTTTCCTTTGACTCATCATTATGATTATATGTATTACTGATCTTCCTATATTGAATCATACTTGTATTTATCAAATAAGCCTTACTTGATCAAGGTGAGGTATTTTAAATTCCTATGAGTTTTAGTGCGCTCAAGTCTTAGTAAGGAATTATTTCAGTTCTCTACTGCAGTATGACGAACCACCCCAAACTTAGTGGCTTAACAACAATTTATTATTGTTTTTCATGGTTCTCTGTGTTAACTATACTCAGCTGGACAATTTTCGCTTGGAATCTTCGTGTGGTTGCTGTTAAATGTTGGCTAGGACTGCAGTCATTTGAAGTCTTGACTACTTGACATCCAAGATGGTTCCCTTCTACAGCTAGAGTCGATGTTGGCTGTTGGCTGGAGATCAGCTGGGATTGTTGACGGGAGCACTTACGTGTTGCCTCTTCATGTGGGCTGGGCTCAGAGAAAGCATGCTAAGGACAAGCATTCCAAGAAACCTCGGAGGACACAGCAAGACTTCTTATGACCTAGCCTTGAAGTTTCTGGAAGTCATTTCCATTGTATTCTCTTGGTAAACCAAGTTGTGAAGTCCAGCCCAGATTCAAGGGAAGGAGAATTGTATTCCAACTCTTGATATGCAGATCTACGTGTGCAACAGGGAGGATTGTTGTTGGGGGCAGTGATCTTTGGAGATAGTCTGTCCTCTGGTCCCTACAAATCACATAAATCCTGCATAAAAAATACATTCACTTCCTTCCCAAGATCCCCAAAGTCTCATCTTGTTATGGCAGCGAGCTCAAGATCTCTATCTTGTCATTAGTATGGATGAGGCTTCTTGGGTGTGGTTCCTCAAGTACAGTTTTTCTCCATCTGAGGACCAGTAAACTAAAGGGGCAAATTTTTGGCCTCTCTAATACCTGATATACAAGGGTGAACAGTGATAGGATAACTGTAGTAGACACTTCTGTTAAAAAAGGAGGGGAATGGAAGTCACATAGCAATCCCTGCCCCACAGCAGTTGTGAAATCCAGACAGACATGTGTCATCAGTTCCTTGATTAGGGCCCAGACCCAGTCCCTGTGAGTGGTTCTCTGTGGCTCTTGCCTTCACCCTCTGGGCTCTTGACTCCACACCTTCCTTTTTCGTAAGAAATAACCAGATTTTGCGGTTGAACAGCTTTCTTAGCCTGCTACCTACCAGTAGATAGTTGTGAATCTAAGGCTCTCTTTTCATTTTGAACCATTTCTCCCTTTCAATCCAATCTCATATAACTCCTTTAAAAAACAATGTGGGCTTCCTGTGTATCTAACTATAATCCTCCTGCATTAGACAGAAGCTACACCCATGGATCTCTTTTCAACAGTCCCCTTTTTGCACTGGTCTGAAAGTGCTGCAGGGTAACACCATCGGGATTCTTTCAAAATGTCCTTGTCTAACAGAGAGTCTAAGAGGCATATGCTTAAGATTCTTAGAAACTCCATTTTTTTTTTCCTTAGAGATTCTATAAAGCTGTGCCCTTAAAACTTTCTGAGGTGTCATGAGAGAGTACCCTTGACTTCTCTTTACCTTGACTTCTTTAAGAATATTCTGCTGGGGGCTGACCCCATGGCAGGTGGTTAAGTTCTGCTTCAGTGGCCCAGGGTTTTACCGGTTTGGATCCTGGGCGCAGACATAGCACTGCTCCTCAAGCCGTGCTGAGGCGGCATCCCTCATAGCAGAACTAGAAGGACCTACAACTAGAATACACAACTATGTACTGCGGAGCTTTGGGGAGAAGAGGAAAAAAGAAAAAGATTGGCAACAGATGTTAGCTCAGGACCAGTCTTTAAAAAAAGAGAGAATATTTTGCTGCCTAGAAAGACTGTCCTGAACCCTTTCTATTGTTCCTAAATTCTGCTCAAAAACTGAACCCTTTTAATTTTTTAGTTCATCTCCCTGTATCCATACCTTGTTATGTGTACCTAAAGGAAACCTCTTGGCACTTACTATTAGGTATATTTTCTATTTTCCATGTTAAGGTAGAAAACAGTATTACCCAGTTTCTGCCCCTATGTAACATGAGTTGCCTTTCTGTAGCCTCCAATTAGAACGTCTTTACTGCCCTTCAGACTTCACTAGCAATGTCCACAAGACCCCTTCTGCTTCTGCCTGCCACCCAGTCCTAAAGCCACTGTGTGTTTTAGGTTTTTGTTATGGTAGCACCCTATTTTCACTTACCAGCTTCTTTTCTGATTATGTCACTACATCAAAACCTAGTGGCTTAAAACAAATTGTTATCTTATTTTGCTTATGATTTTGTAGGTCAGGAATCCAGGAAAGCTTCAACTAGATAGATATGTCTTTTTCATCTGACATCAGTGTTTTCACTCACATTTCTTTCAACTGGGCGCTCCTTCTCCCTCCTTGCTGCTCTCTCCCTCCCTCCCTGCTCCCTGCCACTTTGTATCTCATCCTGCAGACCCTCTCCATGGGGTGGTCTCAGGATAGTCACGCTTCTTTTCTGACAACCAGCTTCCAAAAGGCAAGAATTAGAAACCGCCAGGCTAATTATGGGCTGTGCCTGGAACTAGCAAAGTGTTACTCCTGCCGTAACCCGCTGGTCAGTGCAGGTGAAGGGCCAGCTCGGATTCGAAGTGGATAGAGAAGGAGACTGTTCCTCTTCAAGAGGGAGCAGAAGAGCGTATGAACTGGGAGATATTGTTGCAGCCATCTTTGGAAAATACAATTTGCCACATACTTTTAGAAATCATTTTAAGTTGGATTTGCCAGCACTTTGTGTGTGAGTATGCATATGTCCTACTTTATCAGGTATAGCTATCAAGAATATAATAACTTTGTAAAGTATTTGAATTAGGACGCTTTCCTCCCTTTTTCTTTGCTCAGGAGTAATTCAAGTAGATCAGAATTACCTATTTGTCTAAAGTTTGAAAGAACTCTTTCATAAAACGACCTGAATTGTCTACATGAGAAATTTAAGATTTTTAACTTAGCCAAATATATTGGGTTTTTTTTAACGATTGCTTTCTTCTATACTATATATGTTTAGAAAGTCCTTCCCCAGTTTGAGAATATTTCAATATTTATTCATAGCTGCTATGTGTTTTTTTTTATATTGTATATATAATTCTTTAATCCACCTAGAACTGTTTAGATGAAGGGATGGCTCCCTTCCCCACCCAAATTGTTCAACTAATTACGTGATCATCCATCCATTCCCTCTAGTTTGCGTTGCAGCCGTCATTTTATGCAAGGTTATGTGTTCTAGAATCTGATTCTGGGTTTCTGTTCTATTGATATGTAAGTTCTTTTCCCCATAGTATATTTTTAATTATTGTAACTCTGTCACAAGCATCTTAAAATTGTGAAAATCACTAAATGTCCATGCCTATAAAACGTGAGTAAATGCTACGTGATCCACACTAAGGATGTATGATTTTAGACTATTGAGGACAAGATTTTAAAATCCTATTAAGAATTTGTTTAATGTATATTTTAACCAATATTTTTGTGCTAAATTTTGCTTTCTAGAAAGGAAGAATATATACAATAAATAGCAATATTTACAGTTTTTTGCTTGTGAGCATGACTTTCAGGTATATAAGGTGTATGGAGGTCTTTCATAAGGAAAAAATGAGTAAAGGCAGTAATGAAATGCATTTGCCATCAAAGATGGTACAAAATTCAAGCAAACTGAGGCAGATACTAGAAAAAAGTTTTTATAATTTATTGAAGAAAGCTATTTGTGGAGTGGATCTAGTAATAATTTTCAAACCATACCATATAGTTAATAAAGGAATTCAAAATGTATTCTTTAACAAAATGGATCTTTTATTTTCACTAATCTGGCTTACTTTTGTTTTCCAGGTACTGTTTTCTGTTTGCTTTGGGATACCTCACAGTGTGCCAAATTACGAGAGTCTACATCTTTGATTATGGACAATATTCTGCTGATTTCTCAGGGTAAGATTAACACTTTGATTCAGTAGCATGTTTTATCTATTCTAACATGTTGGTTAAGGGACAAAACATAGTTGCATTTAATAGTTCAAATGAAAAGCTATCTTAGCTGAAAATTTTATGACTAGAATTTTTCTTCTTGTGAAGTGGTCTTTTATAGTGCTCTATAAATTACAAAAATAACCTGTGCTTTTAAATTGACTTATATAAAATTTCTAAATAGATAGCAGTTAAATTTGTTATATGTCATTCTGATACTGAAAGCGTTTCCTAATTCGGATAGAAATGTCTGCAGTCATTTGTAAGTATTGCAGATCAGCCCCCCTTGAGCCTGCGTCCTTGCTACCCTTTCTTTGTTGTTCTGAGTTCCTCTTGTACTGTCACTCACCAGCTTCTGTATAAGATCTGATCACTGGTTCTTGCTTCTTAGCACCACATGGGGCTTTCTTTTGACCACAGGTCTTTGGACTAGCTTGGTCAATCTGAATTTCCTGGAGAAGACACTTGAGCATTTACTTGACTCCTATGCGTTTCACTTCTGTGGAATGCTATACATTTTCATATGTAGTATTCAACTGAGTAATGGAAATAACTTCTGGCTTTTGTTCCTTCAAAGGGGATTTAGTCCTTCCCTGGTACTGAATGGGTCTCTTTGTTCTGTAACAAAACTGATTGAATATCTGTTATGAGATAAATGCAGTCCAGGTCTTTAAGAACTAACTTGCTCACCGTCTTTATAGAGGGACATCTGCTAACACCTGGATACCAGGTGAGGAAGTTGAAAATAAACCTCTCTATTCTTTATGTCAAGCCTGACAGCTTTCTCTGTTGAACAAGATACAGAAAACCTGCTTTTAAATCAATCCACTCATTGGGACAGGATAAATAATGACCAATAAATCCAATGTAAGGATAAGTAAAGTAGAAAAAATAATACAAAACAAATCATGACATCTATAAAAAAAATTGTTCAACCGTAGAAATGGACCAAAGTTCTGTGAGCTTAGAGAAAAATCACTGGTATGAGACGAGATAATTTTAGAAGATGAAAGATCTTTTTCTCCTTAATGAGATTAAAGTAGATTTTACTTTTATTAAACAGGCTTAAAAAATAGGCTTGGATGAAAGGAGATTGCATCCAAAACAACAAACCAAACCAAACCAAAACAAAACTGATTAAATACACTAAAAAATATAGTTAGTCAAATTAACAATTTATTGCATAGAATTGAGAAATGCACCTGGAATTCAGAAAAGGAAGACAGAGGATGGCAATCTACCTTATACATATAAGGAATTCTTGAAGAAAAAGAGCTAATCAGCAGAATCAATAAATATATTGGGCCACTGTGTAAATCTTAGTGAACTTGAAGAAGTAACCCAGGTTGCATGTTGTCATCATAGTATAATGAAAGTAGGAACTAGTTCTGTAAGTTTAAAAGAATCAAAATCACTTAGAAAATTCAATCTTCCTGAGAACAGGGACCACACTGGTCTTGTTCGTCTTAGTATCCTTAGTGCTTAGCACATAATGGCATTAAATAAATACTTACTGAGTCAATACTAATACTTCAGTAAAAAAGAAGGTAGAAAATATAGCGAGAAAAATGGGGAAAAAATAACAGACACAATATAGAAAAACCTGAGCAATGTGGGCAAAGCTGTACTAAGAGATAAATTCATAGCTTTGAATACTTGCGTTATAATAAATGAGAACTAAATTAAGCATTTAGTATAAAGTAGAAACAAAAAGAATACTCGTGACTAATTCACCTTGTGCATGTTGCTAACAGAAATGTTAATATTAGCAACTAAATGTTACAATGTTGTAAAGTCACAAATTTTCAAATTGACTTCTGGAGTCATAGGCAAATACCAGAGGTGCTAAGCAGACGAGGGGCTAGTCTCCAATCTTACTTCAACTCACATCTGTCCTACATTTCTCATGTATATTTTGGGATTTCACATAGTATTTCATTAAAAAATATGGTGCTGCTTATATTTTTAAACCACCAGATTTAAAAAGTAATTTAACATAGCTAAATTGAATTTACTAATATGAACTGGTATGAGTACCAAATCTGTGTGATGCAGTATTTGCTGGATCCTTGTAACCCCTCTGGTTTGATCTTCATCATTACCTTTTTTGTTTCCCTTATCTGCTGTTCTAAACTCTTGTTGCTCTCTGGCTAGGGATGGCTAACTACTGTTAAAACAGCAACTTAATTTCAATGGCTTTAATAAAAGTTTATTTCTCATTCATGGTATAGTGCACTGAAGCGGGAGACTCTGCTCTGACCATCATTCAGGGAGCCAGGCTCCTTCTGTCTTGTGACTCCACCTCCTTCAGCATCGCTAGAATCTTCCTGATAAGTTGATGGGAGCGGGTGTTGAGTGTGAGCAAAGAGAGCGCATTTCTCCTCACCACCTCTGCTCACACGGAAAAGACTGGTTACATGGCCCACAGATTAGAGGATAGTTTACATTAAGAGCAAAATGCATGTTCAAAAATAGTTTTTTGTGACATGGCTTTAAGTATTTTGCTGATATTTAAATTTTATTTAAATATTTACGTAGAAGAAAAACAACGTAGTATTTTAAAAACGGACAACCTGATATAAAACTCCCAGTTTAATGTGTAATTTTTATCCATTGGATAAAACATTTGACCATTTTATCCATAGGAGAAAACGTTTGACCATTATCAGTGAACTGATAAAGAGTATATAGAGACAAATTGGCTGAAGGAGACCATCCTGGCAGAACTAAGTTGAAGGACTCTTTTTGCTTTTTTTTAATGGACACAGGAGAAAAAAGAAGCCATCTAGAGGCAGGCTCTCCCCTCAATGAAATATTTAGGCCTTTGGAAGCTTTGAGTGTGTGTAACACAGGAATGGAAAAGATCCTGACTCGATCCTAATTAGGGTAAATACGGTAGCCATTTGAAATGTTGGGTGTCTGAGGAAGGTAGAATTGGATGAAGTGACCCATCCTTTATGCTAAGCTGTCCTGTTGCCCTGAAGCTAGAAGCACAGGAAGTGAAGCCTGGCTCTTGCTGAGGAGACGTGGGCACTCTTCTAAATGGGGTGGTCTTACTTGCACGAGGCGTGGAAAACTGACGTTGTGTGTGTATGTGTGTGTGTGTGTGTGTATGTATAACTAGGTTCAAGATACATTTAAAATGTTGGTTAGATAAAAGGGACTCACTTCTTAATACCAGTTTCCTTCTGCAGAAAGATGGACAAGCTACTGAAGTTGTTAGCTTTTTCATGTTAGCCTCAGAAAATAAACACAAGACAAGTATTATGAAATAGCCTCCATTGGTATCAGCAATACCCAGTTAGAAAATATAATAGAAAAGGGATCCTCGTTTCAAAAGCCATAAAAACTATGAAATATCTGTGTATTATGTGTATATGTGTAAAAAGAAATGTACAGGACCTCTGTATAGAAAACTATATAACTTTAGGATATAAAAGAAGACTAACTGGAGAAATATCTTGTTTATTCAGATAGTAAAATTCAGTATTGTAAAGATGTTAATTCCTCTTACTCTGTAGGGGTAATGCAGTTCATGTTGGGGTTTTGAGGGAAATTAGACAAATTGATTGAAAAATTTCTCTAGAATAAGTGCTTGAGAGTGGTAAATTTGCTATAAAAACCTACTACGGTTTGAAAAGCAGCAGTCATTAAAATAGCATGACCGACAGAGGAATAAACAAACCAAGGAAGCCAGGGAAGAGAAGCAGACCCACGGGTCTGAGAAATAAATGTACAGAATAGGAATGGTGAGATTACAGGTCAGTGAGGAAAGCCCCTCTCAGTAAATGGTATTGGGACAGAAAAAAGAAAGGTAAATGCCTGCCTCTCATGCAGGTAAATCACCTGTAGATGGAAGCCAGACAGATGGTTTGGCAGGAAGGTAGTACGTTCTGATTGGAATGTATGGATTTTTATGCTGCTGAAGGGATAGCTTCATGCACCCACCAAAAAGATATATGTGAAATAATTCTTCATTCAAATCAAGAATATATTTTAGAGCTAACCAGGTAGTATCAGATGCTCAGTGAATATTTAACCACTGGTTACTCATACATGTTCATTCAGCTAAGATATCTGGAGCCCGTGCTGGCCGTTTTGCTAGGTGCCAAGTACTTCTGTAGGAGAAAGTCCTGTCCAGCATAAGAAGTGATAAGCTGTTTGGTGTAACACTTCTTACTCATCACTCCTTGGAGAAAGCCTTGTTCAAGTCGAGAGTCTAAGTTTAGACATCTCTTTGTACTCTGTAAACTGAGTCATAGGAGGCCCTTAGCTATTCTTTATTATCCTCCTCTCATATTGCCCCCAGTAACTATGTTGTAAATAGGGTTGCTGTAAATTATTCAACCTGCTAAACCTTAGTGTTCCATTTATCCTGTTTCATCCTGTGGGAGTGTCTCCTGGCACCCTGACCTACATTTGGTCACGAGGAACATTCTGTCCAGCAGCTGCTAATGTAGTTCAAGTTACCAAGAGTAAACAGGCATGGATCTGTCATGCGGTTTTTACTTGTCTGTTCCCCACCCTACCTGAGCCTTTCCCTGCTTTTATGTCTGTTCACAAAGCGGTGTGGTATAATGATATTTATCAGATCTGTGATGTTGATACCTGGCCCTCAGAGCCCTCCCTGGCATGCCTGCCCTCGCCCCTCACCCTGCCTCCCCCATTCTTCCTTCTTCCGTCTGATGCTAGAGCTGGAAGTAACTGCTTTCCTATCTTTATACTTTTGGTCATCTGATTCTCTCTGCTTGGAACACCCTTCTCAACCTTATCTGCATATCCAAACCTCCTTAATCCTCAAGGCCCAGATGAACTGACTCCTGTTTGAGGTGTTTTCCCCCCAATTTTCTCAGTTTGAAGTTCTCTCTCATCTCTCTACACAGTTCTGCAAATATCTCATTTGGCTCTTAACACTTTTTTTTGTTTTGTTTTTTGAGGAAAATTGGCCCTGAGCTAACATCTAT